ACTTTAATTCCATGTGAAATGCAAAATTTAACAAACTCTTCAGAATTGAATGGTGGACCATTATCAGAATGAATCTCATCTGGTAACCCAAAAACTGCGAAAGTTTTACGCAAACATGCAATAACATCTTTGGCAGTAGTTGATTTCAGAATCCAAGCATCAACCCATTTACTACTTGCATCAATTAGAATCAGAAAAGTTACATTATTTTTCTTGGCAAAATCTAGATGTAGTCTTTGCCATTTTCTAGCACACCAAGACCACGACGTCATAGGTGCATCAGGGACATTCGGAATCATTAATTGACAGCATTCACATTTGCTTACCATACTTTCTATATCTTTATTCAAATTGTTCCAGTATACATATTGTCTCGCTAACATCTTCATTTTGACTATTCCTGGATGCTGTTCATGTAACAAAGTCAATACTGGCATACGCAATTGTGAAGGAACAATAACACGATTTTGATAGGTCAAACAATCCATATCTAAATTGAGATATTCTTTAACTTTGTAATATGGTAATAAATCGTCACCACATTGGTTTTGATTTGGCCAACCATGTTTGACAAAATCGATGACTTTATTCAAAATTTTATCTTTTCCAATTTCTCGAGCAATATCTTTATAAGAAAGTGGAATTTCTCTCGCCACTGAAAAATACTTTATTGTTCCACCACTACCAGCATTTTTCAACGGCAACCTTGATAATGCGTCTGCATTGAGAATTGTTTTTCCTTCCTTGTATTTTATGACATAATCATACACAGATAAAGCAACTGCCCATCTTTGAGTTCTAGCTGCAGCTAATGGAGGAAGATTTTTTGACGGAGATAAAATAGATTGTAATGGTTTATGATCATTATATATAGTAAATTTTCGACCATATAAATAATTATGGAATTTCTTGACCCCGAAAATTATACTGAGTGATTCTTTATCAAGTTGGCTATAATTTAATTCTGATTTTGATAACGTCGCGGATGCATACATTACTGGTCGTTCGAATCCTTCTGGAGTTATATGTGCAAGAACTGCACCAATTCCATACTGAGAAGCATCACATGACAAAATAATTTGAAAATTCGGATTGAAAGGTATGAGAATATTCGAACTAGTTAAGTACAATTTACTTTTTTCGAAACAGTTGTCAACCGTTTGATCCCATAACCAATCATTATCTTTTTTAAGCAATCTATATAATGGAGCAATTTTTTCAGAAAGCATGGGAATGAATTTGGCATAATAATGTAATAACCCTAAATACGACTGAAGCTGTTGTTTATTTTCTGGTCTGGGTGCATTCATGATAGCTTCAATTTTCTTCTCACTGGGTTCTACGCCTTTAGATGTCAAAACGTGACCAAGAAATTCAACTTTTTTCACAAAAAATCTACTCTTCTCAAGATTTATTCCTAAATTGTATTCCTGAAATTTATCTAAAACTATTTTCAAAGTCTCGAACATTTCTGACTCTGATTTTGCTGTAATAAGACAATCGTCGATGTAAGAGTGAACATTTTTTATTCCTCGCAAAATTTGATCTATCATAGATTGGAAAATATGAGGGGCTGACTTTATTCCAAAAGGGAGACGTTTATAGGCATATAACCCAATAGGTGTATTTATTGTGAGCAACTTCTTACTCTCTTCACTAACTTTTACTTGAAAATAAGCATTTTTCAAATCGATTACGGAAAATATAGTTCCACCATTTAATGAAGCGAATATCTCTTCAGTAGTCGGCAATGGATAATATTGATTTTCGATGCAAGTATTGATCGTTGTTTTGAAATCTCCACATATTCGTATCGTACCATCAGGTTTGGGAACGATTACAATTGGACTAGCCCATTCTGATGTTGAAACCGATTCCAAAATATCTTCTTTCAATAACTTATTTATTTCCCCTTCAACTTTGTCTTTAAGAGCAAACGGAATTCTATAAGGTTTGCAAAATTTTGGAATAGCATTGTCGTTTACTTTGATATTAGCCGTGAATCCATTGATACACCCGGTTTTACTGAGTATATTCCCATAATCTCGTTTCAGAACACTCAAAAATATGGTATTTGGTTGTTGACTCGATACATTATTCACTAATATATCAGATTTAACTTCATGTTCACTCAATATCTTAGTTTTCCACCTGGGTAACAATATATTGAGCCAACATCTACCCAATAAACATACATCATTTTCACAGTCTACAATCTTAATTTCTAATTTTGCATTAACATTAGCAAATTTTACATCGACCGTAGCAGAGAAGACACGATCACTCGTTTGGCCAAAGAGAGTATTTACTCTACAATTCTGTTGCTGAATGCATACGTACGGAAACATACGTTTAAACTTATTCAGTGGCATGATAGAACTACTTGCCCCTGTATCAACTTCCATACTAACAGGTTTATTTTCAATCAAAACTCTTACTATCATTGGACTATTCCCATCCTTAACATTCGACCGATGTACTTCTTCAACTTCATCAAAAGAAGACCAATACAAAATATCCGAATCATCTTGACTGTTTTTTGGGTCTTGTTTGACATCTTCTTCATTTTCAGGACTGCTATTTTCTGAAACCTCTTCTGAGTCGTCTTCAACAAAATGAACTCTGTTCTTACATAATGGAGACTTTGTAGTATGTCCCATCGATTGACAAGCAAAGCATCTCCAATTTATAGCTGGACATTTCGACGGATCACTATGTATACGTAAACATCTACTACATTTTTTCCTGGCTTGATTTTCAAATTGACTCGATTGAGACGATCCCGACTTCTGGAAATTATTAGAGAATACCCTCCTACTTGACGAAAAATTTCCCTTGCGATGACTTCCGCCATTGAAATTGAATTGGTTGACAGTGTCAGGTCCAATTGCTCTTGCTTGATCTCCAGCTAATTCTATACTCGTAGCAATTTGAACTGCTTTAGCAAAAGTCAACTTGTCTTCAGTTAACAATTTTCTTATAGTCGATTCACTCTTCAGACCGCAAACGAATTTATCTCTCAAAGCTTCATCTAGGAACTTTCCAAACTGGCAATGGTTCACTAATGTTTTGAGTTTTAGAGTGTACTTCAGAATATTTTCACCATCTTCCTGCTTACAATTATAGAATTTATAACGTTCAGCTATAATTAACCTTTTAGGACTATAATATTTCATCAATTCATCTTTCAGCTCAGTATATGACTTTACACTAGGCAACTCCGGTGATAACAGATCTTTCAAAACCTCATATGCTTCTCCACCTATGAGAGTTAAGAAAAGACTAACTTTTTTCGTTGTGTTAACAGCATTGCATAAAAATAATTGATCCATTCGTTCTAGGTACGACGATACATCCGACTCCCTAGGTTTGAATTGCTCTATAGAACCTATCAATGACATTATTCATAGATTCTTATTTGACTTGTACAGACTAATCTTCTTGACTTAGTGACTCAGTTGACTCACTTGGTTTTGCTGGCAGACTCACTCCTTCGGTTTTTATGTGGGTTCAGTAAACCACTCGTCGCCAAAATGTTGTGTATTTCTTACAGACTTTAACAACACGTACACGGGTTCACAGTAACACCTTTATTGAGAGAATTATGATACATCGATTATAACATATAGCAGACAGTACTAGACATTTCCTGTCTGACATGTATCTCTCTACTGACAGACCACTTTTCATACAAAGTGTTCTGCTCATTATATAACAGTAATCTCAAATGATAAGTCAGACATTGAAACATGCTAACTCATCACATGACATTTTTATAATGACTAAGCCTGCGTACTTAACAATGTGCGCTCCAATCGATAAAAAAAAAAAAAAAAAAAAAAAGTGGGGCGAATCAATGTATATTCTTGTACATCCATCGCGTGTATCTGATGAACTTTGAGCTGGTCGACCCGTTCGAGAACTTCTCGTTCTAATGCATTAGAAATTCTATAGGTCGGCAATTAGATAAACAAATCAGAAAAATGCGTGAAGATTCTTTCGAAGAGGAAAAAATTGCAGGGTCATCACTATTTTTATGATCCCTAAAAAGGCAGATGACAATAGTGGGAAAAAATTGTGGGGTTGTCTTTGACTATAGACAATTAAATCAGAAAATTCATATCGATAAATTCCCTTTGCTCAAAATAACGGAATAATTCTCGATTCTTTGTCAGGAGCGTTATAATTTCCCCATCTAGATCTTAGTCGAGGTCACTATCAAGTTGAATTAACCCCTGGAAGTAGGCAGTAAACGGCTCTCACCAAGAACAAAGGTCAGTATAAGACGTTTTCCGATGGGTCTGAGAACATCCCAAGTTTCTTTTCTAGAGTAATGAAAATTACTATGTCAGATCTTAGTTCAGAAGAAAGTTTGGATGATCTTATTGTTTGAGGTGAAAGTTTCCAAGATCATAATGAAAACTTACCAAATGTTTTCCATAGATTGAGAGAAGTAGTTTTAAAATTGAATCATTCGAAATATATACTTCTGAAGGTGATACTTCATTTAGGACATTTAATTTCTTCAGAAGGTATTTTACCTGACCCACGAAAAGTATGGTGATGCAACAGTTTCCAAGTTCGTAAAATGACTCGTTGAAATTGCGAATTTCCGTAGAAAACATACATCCAAATTTGCTAAGAGAGCAGCTCCAACATCGACAGTCATTTCCCCAAATGAATATAACACTGATAGGTGAAAGTTTGCAAGATCATAATGAAAACTTACCAAATGTTTTCCATAGATTGAGAGAAGTAGTTTTAAAATTGAATCATTCGAAATATATACTTCTGAAGGTGATACTTCATTTAGGACATTCAATTTCTTCAGAAGGTATTTTACCTGACCCACGAAAAGTATGGTGATGCAACAGTTTCCAAGTTCGTAAAATGACTCGTTGAAATTGCGAATTTCCGTAGAAAACATACATCCAAATTTGCTAAGAGAGCAGCTCCAACATCGACAGTCATTTCCCCAAATGAATATAACACTGATAGGCTTACGTCGATAACTCACCTATATATGGTTTTACTTCTTGACCTGGATCTACTTCTTGACCTGGAATAACTGCGAATATTCTTAGATCTAGACTGGCTATTGCTTCTCATATGCCGTGATCTGCTTCTAGATTTACTTATTCTTCTTCTGGATCTCGATCTGCTCCTAGACATAGTCCTTCTTGTACTCTTATGCGTCGATAAGCTATTAGTTCTCCTAGATTTTGATGTACTTCTTCTGAGCATGAATTTCCTATGCCTGGAAACACTTCTGCTCCTTCTATCGCATGATCTACTTCTGCTTCTTGTTGACATATTTGTTAGTTTCACTTTTTCAACAGGAGATCTACCTCTGCTTCTCCAATCATCTGATTTTCTTGTAATTTCAGCAGTACTAACAATCCCATCTCTTTTTCTTTTGGATTTTCCATATTTAACTTTATCAGCATACGTTGTTTTCCTAGTCGCTAGGGTTTCTGCATCGTCTAAAAAATTAGAGAATAACTAACTTTTTTCAACATGATGAAGAACTACTGTACATTTACCTCCAAATGATGTTATGTAAGTAATCTTTCCTGGAACCTCAGGGGATGCAGATCTTGATTTACTATCTTGATAGGTCGGAATGGATGGAGATGTTTTTGCAGCATAGCTTGGAGGGCTCAGAATTCTATTAGCAAGCCTTTTCTCTCTGTGATGTCTGAAATATTACAGAACCATAATTCCACATACGAAATAGCCACAATGCTCAAAGTGGAATGAAAGGTTAAATAAATACAAAAAGTCATTTCCACAAATATTCATAAAATGAACAACAATGTTAGATGACGGGAGAAAAACAACTACTTTCCTGACTAATGCCAAGAGTGTTTATTTCCTTCTATCTAGTCTAGATGGCGTTAAACCCGTGTGACACAACTGTGCCCACGGAAGATTCCTCTGAGACTATAGATATTGCCGAATGGAATTTGTTGGGCCAGGTTACGCTCAGCCGTCGGTATTCGGACTCCTGGCTAGAGACTCTCCCGCACTGATGAGTATTACTTTTTATTTGAATTTGAAACATTTATTCAGGAGTCTATCAAACTAGGGCGGCATAAGATATTTATAGCCCGACCTATTTTATGTGCAAGTTTATTCGTAATTTGGTCGCCAAATCTGAAAATTAAGAGTACTTTACGTAAGTAAGGCACTTTTGGGAAATTCGATAGAGTATAGCATTTCGAAAAAGGTTGATTTGAAAGTGCTATGGAATGCAATAAAATAAAAAATTTCATAGCTCATTTTGTGATCAAACTCATTGACATGGCAAGCCAAGGCACATCTCTCAGGGTGCAGCCTACTGTCACTCTTGTGGGAAGTTATTCTATTGGAAATGGACCGTTTAGATTGGCCAATATATTTTCTGTCACAATCCTGACAAGGTATACAATAAACCACATGTGATTGAGATGTAAGAGGGACTTTATCTTTTAATTTTGAGAAAATTGATTTAAGTGGTAAAACAGTTTTATAAGCAATTTTTATGTTAATATTGGGGATGGAAGAGAATATTCTTGATAATTTAGGAGCTAGTTCCTTGAAGTAAGGTAAAGTGGTGAAGATATTAGTGTTGCTTCCAACATCAACATTACTAATATCTTCACCACTTTACCTTACTTCAAGGAATTAGCTCCTAAATTATCAAGAATATTCTCTTCCATCCCCAATATTAACATAAAAATTGCTTATAAAACTGTTTCACCACTTAAATCAATTTTCTCAAAATTAAAAGATAAAGTCCCTCTTACATCTCAATCACATGTGGTCTATTGTATACCTTGTCAGGATTGTGACAGAAAATATATTGGCCAATCTAAACGGTCCATTTCCAATAGAATAACTTCCCACAAGAGTGACAGTAGGCTGCACCCTGAGAGATGTGCCTTGGCTTGTCATGTCAATGAGTTTGATCACAAAATGAGCTATGAATCTGTGTCAATTTCAGCAAAGGAGAGTAATTACACTAAAAGGATTTTTTTAGAAATGGCCTTCATTTCTCAAGAACCAAAGTGCATTAATAAAAAAACTGACATAGACCACTTAAGTGAAATCTATGCATACCTGTTGTCAGTTGACAATGAGTCAACACAACTTGAAATTCAAATTTAACCCACTCCTCATATTCTAATAAAAATTCACATAAATAACATAAATAACATTTTCTCTCATTAAATTCATCTATCTTCACAAAAAATTTAAATAAAATTATAAATCATACTTGACAAAAGTCAAATTGTTAGGAGGATTAGTATATCCCTTCTACTCCTTCAGTTTTCTGGTTTTTGACTGATTATAGCAAATGCACATTGTGGCTATGGCACTTTTCCCACCTATCAACTTTCCACAAATATTCAGTCACAAAGTAGTGATTGAAAGAGGAGAAGAGGAAACTTAACCTACTACATCATTAGTACTTGCCGCTAAAATGATTATTTTTTCACATGTTCTCACATTTTCAACATTTTACAAATTAACTAAATTCATACAATTGTGATTGATCCTGTTTTTTGTTCGTCTTATCAACTATGTCATTATCGTCTTATACAATTTTATCATTATCAACATTAATGTGAACCAACCTCAACGAAGATGTAAGTAAAAAACATTTTTCTCTTGATACAATTAATGTGACCTAATGGAAAATTGTTGTAGTTCCCTGATGATGGAAATATAATATTCCGAAAGCTTGGACAAACTTTAAAGAGTACTCTTTTCACTTTGCTGCATTCCCCAATAAACCTAGTTTTACCTCTAACTAGTCAGCAACGACTACCCTCTCACATCTATATATACCGGGTGACCCGGAACCAATTTACCCCCCTGTATCTTCGTTGTTATTTTGTATGGATGTTTCAAATTCGGTACTTCGATTCGATGTTATGAATGTACAATTTAGCAAGTATCAATCCAAATATGTCACTTCCGGTTTTACCGGAAGCGCATCCAGTTTTTATATTTCAAATGGAAAGTATTTTTTTTTTAAATTACAATTTGGTATAGAATTACCTTTACAATGACATATCACAATCATACTTTCAATTCACAATCTGCTGGTATAATTGACATTTTATAAAAAAATACTTTTTATGTTCCCCTCGTAACGGAACATTTTCATGAAAGTATGCTGTGGAAGATTGAATTATTGTTGCTTACATAATATTGTTGTTGAATTATTGTTGCTTACATAATATTGTTCAATCTTCCACAGCATACTTTCATGAAAATATTCCGTTACGAAGGGAACACAAAAAGTATTTTTTTTTTATAAAATGTCAATCATACCATCAGATTGTAAATTGAAAGTATGATTGTGATATGTCATTGTAAAGGTAATTCTATACCGAATTGTGATTTTCAAAAAAAAATAATACCTACTTCCTATTCGAAATATAAAAATTGGATGCGCTTCCGGTCAAACCGGAAGTGACATATTTGGATTGATACTTGCTGAATTGTACATTCATGACATCAAATCGAAGTACCGAATTTAAACATCCATACAAAATAACAACGAAGATACAGGGGGGTAAATTGGTTCCGGGTCACCCGGTATATATACATATATAAAAAATTATTGACATTGGACTATATTTCCACCGAGAATATGGTTGCTGATTTACTGATGAAGGGACTACCTAGGCCAAAGCACCTGAAATGTGTTTACTTACTGGGCCTTGGTCATCCTCCAATACTTCATGATGCCAACTACGTATCGAGGGAAAGTGTTGAACAAAATATCATTTAGTAAACCTTCGGTATACGATACGCAGTTTTGTTTAACAAAGTTATTGATATGAACGTCTGTATTTTATGATTAACATATCATCAGTATTTCATAGTGAAGTCATTTTTGATAAAGTTCCTGATACACGCAGTTTATCTATTCCACAATACCTTCCCAGCAACTCCTTTTTCCCTAACAGTTTTGTACTATTTCTTCCTTACTTTGATGGGTGAAACCAACTGCTGGAATTTGAGAAAGTATCAGAAAACACCCAGTGGGAACATGAATATCAAATCATTGAGTAATTAAGTATTAAAATGTTGAACAACACTCTACCAAAACTCGTTCGTCTATAGAACGGCGAAGCTTTGAAATTCTTTGCCAATGAAAATATTCCCAAGAACTTATAACCTCCAGAAGTTCGGAACAAATTCCAACACCTACCTCCTCTCTATCCTTTCTAGGAACGCACGTTATTCCACGAACATTATAGGGATTTCCTTTGTGCGCTCCAAGAGATAAAAAAGATATCATTCCGATGAGCGACCATCTCAGTTATTAGTCATTGAGAATAAATCTCTGTCAGACTATTTTGAGCAGTTCACGAAGTTGCCTGCATTAAGGAATCTGGAGGGTGATACAGAAAACTTCAAAATATTCACTTAGCGTAGAGACTTGTCAGAAACAAACATCAACATTTTTAGAACTAGTAATAATGAAGACTGGGCAGATATCACAAAGGAAACAAGTCCGAAGACAGTGTACGAAACATTTCATAGAACATTCACACTATTGACGAATTCATGTCAACAATTTCCATTTTAACGAAATATATTCTATTCTCTATAGCGGGTGGCCCATTGAAAACGTTCCACCCAAGTTTTCTCCTTTATGATGCAATTAATGAAACACCACTCGGAGAGATCGATTCTAATTTGACGAGGGTCGCAATTTTCTGTAATTATTATGTCCCAATAATAAAACCTTGAAGCGGAACGGGCATCAACTTTAGATTTTCAAATGGAACACCCTGTATAGTATTCCTTCATCGGTTAGTGATTATGAATACGAATTCAACAATGCCAAGTTTCAACTAAGAAAAAGACGAAATGCTCGAAGTGGAAGGGAATGTTACATAAATATGCAAAACTCAAAGTAATTTCCACAAATGTAAATAAATGAACGAAACTAACGAGAGAAAAACAACTACTTAGTTTCCTGGCTATATACCACACAGTACATTGAATAACATCCTCCCGAAATCTATGCAATGATTCGTATAGGCGAATGAAATCGAAACCCAGCATTTAGGAAGGAAAGACTTGCGATTTTATTCGTCTATATGAATCATTGCATAGATTCCGGGAGGATGCAATTCAATGCTCTGTCTGGCATATAGCCAAGAAAAAAGTTGTTTTTCTCTCGTCATCTTTTGTGGAATTAATTTGAGCTTTGCGTATTTATTTAATACCAAGTTAGATGGGGTTTTTCGAAACAGCTTCGGAGATATAACTGATTGATTTTTGAACATGCAGAGATTTTTTCCGTCACACTCTTGGAGCCTGTTGAAAAATCAATCAGCTTGTAGCATTTGAAATTGCTACAAGATAATATAAGGTCATTATTTTGATGAAATTTATCTAATAACAGTAGAGTAGCACTGTGGTGTGCTTGGATTTGTTTCCAGTTTTCTTTGGTGTAATACACCTAGTCTTCAAATTCTTACTTTGTGAATTTGAGAAGAAGCCATACTCCCAGTGAACATTCAGTCTGACACACAGTAAATAATCCTTGAATAGTAGAATATTTAATGAAGCAACCATATCACAGACAGTTCTAAATGAGATCTTTTAACAAACATATTCCAATAGTAGAGTACTCATTTCTTCTGATATTCTATGTGCTAATAGGAAGTGATGATGTAAGCTGCAGGAGTCTTTGATTTCTGGCGTCCTGATCCTAAGGCCCTAGAATCGAAGAAAATATTCAATATTATAATCCATTCAAAAGTAGACAGACGACTTACCGTTGGTGTTCTCCAGGGCGATGAATCCTATATCGCTGGAATATCTCAGGATTTATGATTATGTTTGTTCATTCTGAATTGGTTTCAATTTGAATATGAATTTCTTTGTTTATTTTTGGGATAATATTTCAGGGTTATATTTTCTTATTAGTGTCATCCACGATGTCACTGTCACTGCTGAACTGAAATTTGTCTTCTGTGAAGGATTTGGAGATTATTTCTATGAAGACAGAAGAAAAACAATTCTTCCTGATAGTTGGGACGTAGCATTTCTTCGACCGATAGGATCCTTGGAATTCATATTTGGCGCTAATTTGTGATTTTAACAGGAAATTAGGATTTGACTCGTTAAAAAGAGGGTAAGAGAATTTCCGGCACGTACTTACCTCACTTTTTCTCGGTTAGCCATGGTGGCGTGCACTTGACCTGTGGATAAAAGTGATTTTTTTTCTCGGTGAAAACCGTAGAAACCCTTCGGAAAATTTGATTTTTTGGGAAGCCGTTGTTTATCGTCAGTGGATGGAATCTCCGTCTGAAAGCCATTTATGGAATTTGTTCCTGGAGACTGCCATGACGTTTTAACAAGCCATGCAGCCCGGCCTGTTTCAGTCCTTCGAAGCAAGATTTAATGATTCTCCAACCCTACCTCCCTTCTCAGGAGTTAAGTCACAGCCATAGCAAAGTCAGTCAGTAAATTCTTCGAAAATATATCCTGTTCTTCAGTTTCTTTCTGTTGTCTCCACGTGCTGTGTGCCCTCTCAGGAGGCTATATTCAGATATTGTTTCAATATGGTGCTAGGGTGCAGCTTAGCTGTGCTTCGGAGTTCTGGTAGCGACCGGCCCTCAGGAAACTCCACTCCAATATCAAGATCCCCCAGCAGATCTGAGTAATCCTGCAAGGTCTTCGGATCTTGGCCAGAGTCGACAATGGAGACACCAGATGGAGCCCAGTAGCAGCTGGTAGAGACTGACCCCTGGTTATACTGCATCCTGGAATTCCTGCTGACCGTGGAGGTTCGTTTGTGTTTGTCGTCACCTGCAGTGACCTATGCTGCACATCTACATACCACTTAGGACCTTGGATAGGGGTGATCTGGACCATTGCGGAGGACCCTTGGACCACTATTAGGTTTTTTGTTCCACCTTCAGTGTTTTACCTTATGATACATATAGTACATATTTTCACATCAGAAACCTGTTGAATAATCACAGTCACTACAGTAATAAACTGGTGAAGCTATTGTGAAGCTCTCCCATAGTATACTATGTGACTGCGGTTGCTGAACAGTTCAATTGCGCTATCATTCCTTAACTAGCTATACATTCCGTTTTATAGTTGAAATAGAATTGTTACTATACTTATTTTCACTTATTCTAAAACTATGGTAATGGTCCTGGTATAGGTATAAAAATTATGATAGTACAACTATGCAATTTACTCAACCTCAAATATTGAAATAATATAGTACTTCATCAATTATTTTTTAAAAAAACAGTAGGCCGTTTCATAGGTCCATATATAACCTCGTCTCTGGTGGTGTGAAATATAGGTCTTCAATTTTATTTTATTCTTCATTCTTCCATACGTCCAGCCCAGCCTTCTAAGAAAATACACTTTGAGCTATTTTTCAGAATTTTGAAAAAAAAAAGATTATTTGAAAAGAAATTTGGTTTTCTCAATTATCCAAATTTTAGGATTCTTATAAATTGAGTGGCGACCAAGAACTTGAATTTTTCTTCACCATCTAGCCTATACTTCGAACTCACTTATCTGTTCTCCGATGTTTTAATACTTTCATCTATTCAAATTAAAAGTTGGCCACAAGCTATATCACCGTAGCCGTTTGGGAACTTGGAATTATTAGATTTGAAATCATAATCACTAACCGATCATGAATAGGAGCTATACAATAAGCCTGAGGGATGCAGTATACACGGATAATATCGATCTGCCGACTCCCACCAACAAAAAAAAACGATCATGGAATACAATACAGGATGTTCCATTTGGAAATATATATCATAATGGATCACAAGCGGAAGGTTTCGAGAAGGCTTGAGGATACATATTTTTGAGCGTTGAAAGAGAAAATGATGAATCAGAACCTTGATTAGAACCTAGTAGGGGGCCTTCTACTTTCTATCAATCGTTTATCCGAGGGTAATGTAAATGATTTCTATCATGTTCATCAACCTTCCACAAGTAACATCAACACAAATACTGATCTAACTGATGTTTCAGGTGATAATTAGGTATTCATTTTTTTATTTTTATACTTTGGTGAAGAATCCCATTTTGTTTCATGTATGTATTATTAACATAGTGTTTCCAATAAATTCGATTTGTATTGAGTATATTTGATTTTGTATCCATTTTTTCATTGAATAATTCGAATTCAATAAACAAAATTCAATAGATGGAAAAGAGACACATGAAGGGATGTCCTTTTCGTCGGAAAGCGGATGTCCCAGCGAGGTCCCCAGTACGTACCACATCCCAACAAATAGGAAAGTCCCCAAACCAAATGAGGGATGTCCTATTGATGTCCAAGAGATGTACTTGTGTAGAATACCAACAAATGAAAAAAATCAATTTATCCAAATGAGATATTACTTTTTTGCCCCATCCACATCTAGGAGACTTGTACTTTCTGGGAAACCCTGATCATTGATACCGAGAATTAATAAATAAGGGAATCCTAGGGTGCATTGATGACAATTTGATATATTTGCTGTGTTGGTATGATACAGACAAATTGCTGTTGATCTAGTATATATTTCCATATTTGTCCAATTATATTGATCACTCAATGACTTGAATAAGGGAGAAATGTGTCCTAGTATGAGATGGGATGAATATTTGCCCGCAATCTAGTCGAATGACAAATTCATCAAGAAGAAATCAAGGCAACCTATATAGTGTATACCACAATCATGATTCATCCGATATATTACCTACCGTCTTTCTCTCCTGGATTTTCTTCCTGAGAATAAGGCCTTTTCTTGCTCTTCTTCTCTGGCTAACCGCGCAGTCTCAGCTTCCTCCAAATCATTTGTAAGGAACGAATAAAAATCATTTGAGCTCATACCGTAACTTCGTCCATGTTTGTTCATATCGTGAGCTTGACCTGGGTCCATTTTGGACACATTTATTGCCAAATCTACATCTAGGTCACTATCAGAATCATTATCATCTGAGTCTTCATCTTTGTTCTGTGACAAGGATTGGCAGGTACCTGAAAATGGGTAACAGATGATGAAATATTGCTATATTATTTGTAATTTGATTTTATTGATTGATTATATAAATAGCAATGAACAATAACAGTAGCAGCGGCAGCTGATAAGAAAATAATATCGCCAATGTTGCCGAGTTATATTTTTTTGTGAAATTCTTGTCAAGTTCATTATTTCAAATGACCCACCCTATATGATTTCATAAATTTTGAAAGAGAATCTTTCAGCCAATTCATTGGTACATCCTTCATAATTAAAAAAAAACGAGAGGCTCAAAGTCGGTCGAACATACTTTATATGTAACATCATCAATTACATTTTAGCGGTTTCGGCACAACAGTCATCATCAGACATAAAAAGTACCTGAAATAATAATAAATATGATAATACACTTGAAGGAAAATAAAATACAAAACATACCAAATTATCTTAGGCACAATATACCATTATTATTGATAAGCAGAGAGATTCGTCGAGGGGTTATCAGGCACATGTGGAAATCTTTGAATCTAGAGAAGAGCCAGAAAAAACTGACTAATAAGATTGAGCATCTAACCCAAAATATGTTTTTGGATGTATGAAAAATTGATATTCGTTATACAGGACGTGGAAAGAAATTCTAAATTGAGTAAACCTAATCAGGAATCTGCGATTGAATGTCTATAAAAAGTTTTCATCGTTCAAGTTTGAACTCCTTGATTGGGTGAAAGCATTGAAAAGGAATATTATAGAGATATGAAAATTGTGTATATCATGAAGAATGCCTGAAAGATAACTGGACTTCAGGTTACTGAGGAGTGTGTGAAATCCGAAATGAGTTGATTCGAATGAAGTCATATAACCCGTTTGTGAGAGATATAATTTCCATATCACTGATAGGAATAATTTACTCCTATACATTTCAATTTTCATTTTAATACTGAACATATTGGTACGTTATATTTTATATCATAATACATCATATTATTTATTAGATTTGAGATTGTCAATTCTCAATTTACAAGGATTTTAATTTTTCTTGCTCTCTTTCTGGATGTACAACAGATATAACACAGATATAACTCAATGTTGTAATGTGCAAATACATATTTTTATCTGAAAGAGAATGCAAATTCTCAACTTAAGAAAATTCAGTTTTCGATTTCTTATCGTGTGTTCAATAGATATAATTCAATATTCGTCGTTGGCATATAGCTAGGGAAGTAGTTGTTTTCTGTTGAATAAACCGAGAAAGAATTGATATTTTTATCATATAGAGAATGCGAATTCTCCATGTATTTCTTTATATGTACTTCCATTTTTTCATTTTCCTATGTTCATAATTTATCTGAGAATATTCCTTTTCAATCGAAAATTTGTTTTTATAAGTTACATATTATTGTACTGAAATCAACCATATCATAGTACAACACGAAAATAGAATAATCTGAAAGGTGGACAAAGAATTTGACAGATGGACACGTTTTTTTTTATCGCTTGGAGCGCACGAAAGGATATCCCTATAATGTTTAAAGAACATCGTGCGTTCCAAGGGAGGATAGGGACAGGAGGTAGGTATTGGATTTTTTTTGAACTTCTGGAGATTATATGTTGTTGGGAATACTTCCTCAGGCAATGAATTCCAGAGCCTAGCCGTTCTATGGATGGAGGAGTTTTGATAAAGTGCTGTTCGACATCTTTCGAGGTTGACAACGAAAGGATGTGCTGACTGGGCTTGTCTAGTTCGTCTGACTGGTATTGCTAGTGAAGGGATGATAGCAGAGATTCTCGAAGAACACTTCCCGTGGAAGTATCGATAGAAAAGTGAAAGGTCACCGACCTTCCTACGGTGTTCCAATGATGTCAAAGAGTGAGTGAGAGTATTGTCACCCACCAGGCGAATGGCTCTTCTCTGGATGGAATCTAAGAGCATCAGCGTATGTTTTGGTGCTGAACCCCATATGTGGAAACAGTATTCTAGAACAGGCCGTATCTGCGCTTTTGTAGATCATGAAAAGCTGCTGAGGTGTAAAGTAGCTTTTCGCACGGAACAAGAATCCGAGTTTTTGTGAAGCAGCTTTTGCGATGGATCTGACATGATTATCCCATAAAAGAGTGTTGCTGATGGAAATACCGAGCATAGATATGGTGGACTTGGTGGTTTCCACATGTGCCTGACCTGATAATCCGTCGACGAAACTCTCTGCTTATCACCATGACTTTCCTATAATATTGGTATATTGTGCCTCAGATAGTTTTGTATTTTATATTTCTTCAATGTTCATATTTATTATTTTACAAGTACTTTTTATGTCAAATGATGGCCGTTGTGCCGAAACCGGTAACATGTAATTGATGTTTTATTTGAAGTGTGGTCGACCGACTTTGAGCCTCTCGTTTTTCTTCTGAAATTAGGTACGTTGGACAACTTTGACATATGGATGATTTTCACGATTTATTATTTATCATTTTTTGTTCCATAACAACTAAGAAAGAGGCGAACAAAGTAACCAAATAATCAAATCTAACTAAAACTGATGAGTCCTTCTTATTCAAAATTCTCACTACAGACAAACTCCATCCAAAAACATAGGGTACGATATTTTTAATTTCAAGGCGGACCGATACTAGCAATAGAATAGGTACTCGCATATAAAAGAATCGATGCAACCACAAATTAATCGAAATTAAGTCATGTCAAAACAGTGAAATAAAACAGGGGAAGGCACCAGGTAGGAACAAACTCATTTTATTGGAAGTTCAAACTGAGCACCAGGTTACTTCTTGACAGTAGGCTAGTAACATTAGGCATTAGCAATTACTACTGGTTGAACTCTTTGAATCTCTTCGGTAATTCTTTCAGCTAGTTTCGGCAACCTGTTTGGTTGGTTGAAATCAATTTTGGACTTCAATTGACCTCACAGAGAATAGCCACTGGACTTAGATAAGTGCAGGCCATTCAATTATATGTACAGTGATGCCCAATAAATTGGTAACGACTCTTGGGCGAATTGAAATATTTTTGTCTAAGCACATGTACTATTCCCTGTCTAGAAACGAGCTGCCTCCCTCATTAGCATTTTATGACCTGCTTCGCGCTGTAAAGGTATTATATAGGGTATACCCAGAGGTGTTATAATTATTATTCAAACTTGAAAAATAACAATGACATAGTTATTTCTTGGCAACTACGATGAAATAAATAGAAATTGATCTGGACTGCTTCACAATCATTCAGTTTTGATGAGAACGATATAATATTATCATAACAAGAATCCAATCTTGAAATAAAGGGATTTAAGAATGTGTAAATTTCAACAATCCACAATTGATTAATCAAACCTCTCAGCTCTCGAGCTATATGGTGTTGGAATTTTCAGGCAGAAATTATTTCATTATAATAACTTCAATATACTGTCTACAACAAGTTTCAGGGCATATGTTCACATGAACTTTTTTCTCAAAATGGAGTGAGGAACCATATCCCTTATCATTAACCATCAATTAAATCACACCCTGTATAACCAGGAGAAAACGATCGATAAAATTTTAATAAAATAATAAAGATATGGTACTAAACTATATAATTTCAGGTATCTTCAGGTAACCCATTCATTTTCAAAATTATGATGAGTTGAATGAATCTCTCAAAAATCTTGGGTATATCCGAGGGTAAATCTGACATAGCGCACTTCCGAATACGGGAAGTAAATTGAATTCCCTTATTTCTGATAGAACACCAAATTTTACAGATATGTTTGAAGTAGTTCTCAATAATAATTTGTCATTACCCAGTAATGCCATGGTAAACTACATTTTCTGATGAAGTATTTAAAAATAAAAAATCGGTTTTTGAGGCACCTTGTGTTTTAAGATAATGAAAATAGGTACCGGTATGTTTTAAATGATCCTGCTGCAAAATCCATCGATATTTTTAGTGAAAAACTGTCTCATAGTACTTTTTGAAATTTGGGTCAATGAAATTGGTCACCGTTGGTCATGAAATCAGTTCAAGAATGAAATCATTTTCTGGTTGGATGGGCATTTCGATTACCTATCCAACAAATACATTGTTCTCAGATTCTATCATATTATTATAGTAACAGGGGACACACTGTATATAAAAATTAGAATTGAAAGAATCTCTATCTGGCAAATGAAATTCCAATCAAAATGTTTAAATGTCACTGTTGAAAATAATACATTTTAAAAAAATATCAATGGTGAACACTTCAAAATATGAATTGAAAAATGTATCACGGTTTATATCATAGAATAATGAAAATGGGTCGAGACTCCGAAAACAACAAAAACTGTCGCCGGCGACTCCTGTTTTCAAAATGTTTCTAAAATGTCTCTGAAAAGTAGTAAATTTGTTGATATCGACAAGAAATTCTTTCTTGTTGCTGTTTTGTCTGTTTGGTGTAGATCCAATATTATAGACAAATAAATCTCGGAAACTACAAATTGATATCAAATAGAGATGAAGAGTTGTAGTATTTAAACATGCACTGTTCATATAGAACGAATTGAATATTGTTTCATTATAATTTCAATGGTATATACATGCATACGATATTTCATAAATATAATATAGGTTCGTACGTTCCAAGAGATGAAAAAATTACGTTTCGTTACGAATTTTGATTTTAATTCTACGACAGCATCCTACTCACGTTTGATATTTTGATTATCATATATTGAAATGAATATAATCATAAACACATCCTCCTCGGACAACATTCCTGATGAGATTTGCTGATTTTTGCTAGAATTTACAAACCTAATTACAGTATGTGCAGTTGGAAACCGCAAAAACATCGTATTTTTCGGAGCGATGACCGCTCAGAAAATAAGATAAGTATGGTAGGTTTATAGTGACAAATGAAAATGGCTATATCTATGAGGGATAATAGACTATAGAAAAATTCTGCGTTATTCGAAGTTGGTATTTTTATAATACTATATACTATTCCAAATGGTTCCTCACTTGAACTGGTACAAAAATATTCGAAATATC